AATATTTCACCGGCAATCGAATGCCCATAGAGTAGCATCCTAACGATTAATGTCTCCGTTATTATTATTATTATTGGCTCCTCCAAATCTGGAATGCCAAGTGATTGCCCATTGTATTCAAGAACCTGACAGATCTTCGTTTAATATCCCCATCACACAACTCATCAATCTAGTTCATGAATTATGTACCAACCAAATCCAAAGTATAGTTCATTCTTGGACTTTTCATCACTAATCCATGTAAATTTTCAATGTATCCAACACCTTGTAGTGGTTTCACAATTGTCATGGATGAAGTACTGGAAACGTTTTCTCAACAATGTTGTAGTGTTTGAGCTGAAAGCTCAACAATCTCATCTGATAACGTGGAAAAGCGAGTGATTCTCAGCTCATTGGCAATATAGAAGGGATTCGAAGCTCTCGCAATTTGATTGTTGCCTCATTCTGATCGTCGAATGCTGGCTTGAATTGTTGCTTGGAAGTTTGGCAGCAAGTTTTGGGTTGGCATGGGCATTTTGGAAATTTCTTGTACATCCAATCTTCACACATCCACTCCATTTGGGCGACTTGTTTGATTCCTTCTTGGCTTGTATTGGTGCAATTTGGAGCTTGCAGAGGTCGTTGTTGACGACCAATGGTCATCGCTCGAACGTGCAGGATTTTTGGCGAGGCATGGAATTTTGGTCATTTTGGTTTTTAAAAAAATTGGCACAGTCGGCCAGAGCAGAGTCATCATGATTGCCAACAGTATTCTAGGACAACCTAGCCGATAACTATGAGAATATATTCAAAGCTGCGTTGGTTAATTCTTCTTTTATCATAGTCATCTCATCACTTGAAGTTGCACTTTGGGGGATATCCTCATATGGGGATACCTGACCCCCGATCGGTTAAAATTATTTAGCTTTCAAAAAAGTATCTAAACGGACAGATTTCGGGCGTGTGTTTGACGTTGTGGTGCGTCTGTACTGTACAGTAGGTACTCGTACCCGTACTGTATGTACGTGTACGACCTACTAACTCATCAAGTGCGCATGGTTTGACTCAGTGGACCACAGTTCTCGGTTGTGGTTCTTTTTTCACCTATCACGGACCACATACAAGTTTACCTCACTCAGCAAGAAAGCAATGTTTACGAGTTGCGTCGCGCTGAACCTTCGCCGATATGGCTCTCTGAAGAGGTTGATATGGAAAACGAAAAATCCCCTGGCAGAATATCGTGCATTTGCGTCAGCTAGTAACTGCTGGATGGAAACGGCTGCCACAGCACCATTTGATTCTGGCGCTTCGAACGTTTGGGGAAATAGTAACATGCAGAACTGCAGTACTTTGGATAATCTATGGGGCGATCAATGTTTAGAAGGGAATTCGGAAAGTATTTCTTTGCTTTCAGATTGCAACATACTATCAAATGTTGGATTGTTAAATGACGATGATGGCGGGTAATTTTATTTTCGGCGAAGATAGTGCAACTTGCAAGGATTGCCTGCATTGACTAGACTCAAGCAGTGTTATTTTCTATTTCTGCTTTTAAGAATTAAGACTCTTTGAGTGGACTCGATTCAGTCCCTAGTTTTGGAGTAGCAGCACACTTCAGACTAAGTGGAATTGAAACCTTTTTTTCTGTTGCTTTTCTTCGTAAATCAAACTAAGGAAATCGACTATGGACTATGGTTTTAGCAACACTAACTTTTCGTGGATGCATCTTTCAATTATATCTTGTTTTGAAATGGAAATTGAGCAGCACTCGGGTCAGAGTAGTCGGATAAAAAAACGTCGAGAATGCAGCCAACACATCATAAAATTGACAGACCACAGGAAGGTTCAGGAAGGTTAAGAAACGAAAAGGGGGACAAGGACGGAAGTATGCCTCGAAGGAAGCGTGGATTGGTGTCCAAGTTGCCCTTTCTAGTTCGACTCTTGTATGCCCTACCTTTGGCTCTTGTACTACTCGAGCGACTATTGGTTCCTCTTCAGTTGTCCCGTAGTCCTTCGCCTTCATACTTCAGTTTGGAAAAGTCAAAAGATAACGAAATACTGGATAATAAAAATATACCTGGGCTTACCGAAGTTACAAAAAACACAGGAGATTGGATGAGGTGTCCGTCGAAAACACGAATGGTCCAGAATCCCGTTGCCAAGCATCGTCAAGGATCAAAGAGTAAAATACCGATGGTAGGTGTCTTAGTTTTCTGCATTCTGATTTGTATCTTTGGAGATATCTCAACCAAAAACTCGAAGTTTATTCATCAGACAGGGGAGACAAAGTGCTTAGCCCCAACCCTCTACGACACGAGTAGAGCCTGGCGGAAGTCAGTTGGAAATGCCCACGAATACTGGTTCCACGATATTCGTGCTGTCAACCGCTTGCTCAACCTTGGTTACCCTGAATTCCCCTTACTTCGGAACGTCTTGAGGTGCGTTTGTATGTCAACAATTACATACCTCTTGTCAACTAGTCCAAGTAATATGTTTTTGTTGATAGGCGTTGCATAAAGGGATTTGGAAAAATTTCGCTGTGGAAGTATCTCGTACTCTACTCGTATGGTGGCGTTTTCGCAGCACTAGGATCTGTTCCAGAACAAACTAATTTTGACAAGTCTATGCTTGCAGATGAAGATGCGATATTTTTTGTTGGAAGCGATCACAGCTCATTGATGCCCGACTTTATGGCAGGTAATGTTGTGCCCATTGATGAAAAAGGCATCTCCTCTATCTTTCCTCACATTGGTTCGTTTTTCATACTTCTGAAAATTAGTTTCTCCCAGGCATCCATTGGTGTACTACATAATTCACCACTACCTTCTTGGTGTCTTAATGACAACAAACACAGGTGAAGCCGATCTCTATCGCAACATCGATCTACATGCAATGAATGCAGCAATAGCTGATTTCATTGGGGACGCAGGAATGAACTCAAGTGAGCTTGAGATGGGGAAGACACTGCTGGGGACGGACGATAGAACCATCATGCTTCTGGATCACAAAGCGGATACTGGAGGCATTTTCAAAAGCGCAGGTGAAAAACACGTGTCAAGCATGCTAGTGTTGGGATCGAAAAGTTCGTCAAAAAGCCATCAACCGAATTGGAATGAATCTTGCATGTCAGAAATACTCTCAGACCTTGGATGACGAGAGATGAAGCGTGAATTACTCGAATGTGTTCAATAGCAGTGTGGTGGACTCACTATCTGAAAACCTTTCTCGGCAATTTAAGGTATGAAAGGGAAAGAACGCGATGTGGCCTGTTCTACTCATACGGAGACGAGAAGCGGATCGGAAATGAGATGGCAGTGCCGAAGGGAACAGGCTCGCTTTTTCGAAAATGTTATCGCTTATTGGAACTAGAGACTTTAAAGATGCGACAACCATTGTCAGAAGAACAAGTTGCAAACACCAAAGTCCCTGAGTCGTCTCGACATGGTCGCCATGCGATCTTCTTCACTGTTGATGCATGGCACTGTTGGTGCGGGATTGAATGCAGAAACTCCGGGAAAAGTTCACTCCCACGTCCTTTAATGATTGGCACTCTCCAGAGCTCCATTAATCCGTTTTCGAGTCCAAGCGCCAAAAGTGCGTTCCCATTTAGCTGGCAAGGTGCAAATGCAACAGTAGTCACAGATTCTGGTTTGTCGGTAGCAGTACTAAGTGTGGTTGGATTGAATTGGAAGACTTTTTCCATGGTTTTATGCCCAGATTCCGAAGTACAAATGTTCCAAATCTTAACGCTGCCATCTCGTGAACATGATGCAAACGTGGAAGAGTCGTATGGGCAGAAATGAGCTCCCCAAACAATACGTTTATGAGATGAGTCAACTGCAGCACAAAGGTGAAAGAGACCCTGCGATCCAGACTCCTGTGACTCTTGGCTACGTTTTCCCCACAAACAAAGCCTGCGATCCTTTCCTGAGGAAACCAAGTACCGACCATCTGGGGAGAAACATAAAGCAACCACTGTTGATTTGTGACCACCGGCAAGCACTTGAAGACACCGGTTTTCCTTCACGTCCCAAATTCGAACACAAGCTGTCTCGACATCTCTTGCCTTTGCTGAAGATGCAACAAGGACATCTGAGTACACGGGACTATCGTTGACTTTACAGCTCCGCGCTTCCAGCGTCGATGTCAAGCGAGCCACTTCTGATGTGTGACCGTAGAGCTTTGCAACCTCAGGCCATAGTGAAACAGATCCCAGGTCTCTTTCTAGGGGTAACTTAGATCCCGATTTGGAAAAACCTATGGAAGTATCTTCTTCTGCGCCGTCGGCGGCAGTGGCCTTGTTACTCAACCCCAATGATGGAATAAAGGCACGCTCTACTCTATTAGCAGTATCCTCCTCATTGCTACTGTCCGGTGAAACCATGTCAAGACACTTGACGAAGCCAGCAGTTGCGTCAAATACTCTAATTTCCTTTTCATCCGCGCCACTGATGAGCAAATGCCTGTGATCCGCTGTTGAAAGGGACGCAACTGCGTTGATACCGTAACCATGGACCTGCGGCCTCGCAATTTCTATCCACGCATCCCCAAGATCAGCTTGGCTAGGCGCCCATATTCTGCATGTTTGATCATTGCTTACTGTAATGAGGTAGGATCCGAATTCAGCTTCCCAACACAGGTCTGTTATGCCGTCAAAATGCCCAGTCACGCACGTCATTGCTTTCCAAGGAACCAAGGAAGCACGTTCTTCAACCGACAGCGTTCCATCCATTACAGACTCACCTTGGCTTAAGTCTGGTGAGAAAATGTGAAGCGCTCCTCCGTATCCATGCCCAAGCAACCAACTACCATTTGTGGGCTCAATCTGAGTATTCAAGAAGCCAAGCAAAGAAGAGCCAACTGACCCACCAAGAATCCCACCAGCACTTCCGACCCTCGATATTGGTGTCCAGATCCCAGATTCGTGTTCTCCCCACACTAGCATAGTCCTGTCCATGCTGCTTGAAATGAGAATCAGATCTCGGCCATATATGGACTGCGGGCATGGGTGCCACGTAACAGATGTGACCGGTTCTTCGTGTCCAATTAGCAATGCTTCCAGATAAACTAAAGTTGCACGAGTGTCGTGAAATATTTCCAATCTGGACTCCCCTTCCCCTAAGCCCCATGATTCTTCTACACGAGATTCATCGTCGCTCAATTTTCCGTCAAGATCGTTCGGTTCGATAGCCGCTCTTTCATTATACTTCGCTTCAAACTTCCAGAGACGGATGCGCGCATCTTGACTCCCACTCGCTAAGTAGTCTAGTGCGGTTGTACGAGACCAGTCGAAGCAGGAAATCCAATCTTCATGGCCAGCTAAGGAGCCACAATAAGTTGGACGGTCCTGGCCTCCGCAACGATAGATATGTATCTTGTTGTGACGCGGAGCTGCAGTTCCAATCAGTAATAAAGTCGTTTTTGATTGAAGAGTTTGAAATCTGACAACATTTGTCGGGAGCTGGATCAAGGAAAAGGTTGATGATGAAAAAGGGTTATCTCCAAAGCTGTGATAATCGGCACCACCGGACGAACATGAAACAGCGATGACACCAATTCCATCTTCCAACAAGATTCCACCAACATCAGTTATCGACCGACCATACTCTTTGTCACAATCATTTACAAGAATTCTTTCTTTCCAAATGTTCCCAGATCTGATCCACGACGTGAGTGTACCATCAGAGAATCCACACAAAAGAACTGTGCGATCATTCACTGCACCATCCAGTTTCGGCGTGTCTACGAGGGAGACACAAGTGATTTCACGCCGCGCTGTGACAGTTGAAACCGCGTTTGAACTCGTTATAGACGCTTTTGTGCTTGTTCGAAGGGTCTCATAAACAGTCCAAATGGTTTCTTTGCTGTCATTTTTGCCCAGTTGAATGGTAGCAGGCCGCACAATATTCAGTATTGAGTCTGAAGAATAAACAATTTCACACTGTTTCGCTGGTGATTTGGACAATGATTCTATGGAGGGTATCAATATCACTCCTTTCGATGAAGATGAAGCTGATGCTCCATGGTGTAGCATTTGGCAAGATAATTCGTTACTGCCCATCATTTCTATCGCTATTGTGTACACTGCACTTCGAAAGAAGAGATTGATTCAAACTTGTATTGTTCAGTTACTATTTTCGTTGATCGTTACCATTATTTTGGGAAGTACGTGGTCTGTCCTCCGTACGTGTAGTTTTGTAGTCTGAAAGAATCTGGACCGTGTGGCAAATCCGGGCATTTAGCGAAACCGAAACCGCCAAACCCGACTATAGGTTGTGAAACGCGCGCTAATTACTGATGACACGGTAAAACTGAAAACTGTTTTCACACGGGGATATCCAGGAAATCCCGGGGAAAAAAAGGGAACTTTTAGGGAACTTTTAGGGAACTTTTAGGGAACTTTTAGGGGAACTTTTAGGAACCTTGAGAGATTTTTTTACGGAACTTTTGGGAGATTAATTGAGACTCCCCAAATGCTATCCCTGCTTTCCCATCTTGCACAGAAACTGTTACTTTTCAAATTGTGAATTATGCCATTGGCATCGGTTTTGGACAATCCAATGCTATCAACAAGGTCAACAATGAATACTGGAGCGATTGATAATGCTGGACAATAGTAGTTCAAGGATTGGAGAACCAGCGATGCGAAAAAAGAGCCTATCAAGGACAGTGCTGGAGAGACACATCACCGAAAACATGGACCCAAACCATGTCTACTAGCAGATGGGCAATGGCGTACATTCGGCCAAAAAGTCTTGTTTAGAACAAGGTCTTTGTCTTCGCTCACTGGATGGTCACATCTATTATTCAAGAAACCGACAGCCCCAAAGTTCTCGAGTTCAAGATTTGGGCTAGAACTCGGCGGCAGGAGAACTTCAACGAGATTGAAACGTTTTGACACTATTGGAACTCGTTTTCGTTATACTATGGACAAGCATGAAGTCGTTTACACTGACTTTCTTGTTTTGATTCAATACGATATTGAGAATGGCCGTCCTTTGAATAGCGTCATCTACTATAGTGCAATTCTCTTTTATTTGTATACATAACTGCCTTTCACGCAAAATGTAACGTAGGATTTCTACACGCACGAAATAATGATCTGAATCATATTCAGGGGAGGAAAGGTTGCCCCTTTTAATTAACCACTCCTTCGAGTTGGTCGTCAAACGTCTTGCAGTCGCCCGCAACGCAAAATTTGTGGTGGGTCCGGGTACAGAGTGAGTCCTCTCGCTCGTTTACGTGCGACTACAGACGAGACCTATAGAGTGCAAGGGAGTGGACTTTCAACTTTAGCCATCCTCACGACAGTGCGCAAAACCAGTTAAATTCAATTTCAACGTACCGGTACAATGAAACTCCCTGCTGCTGTTTCTTGTTTAATCTTAATCACAAAGTCAAATAGCTTTTTGTTAGAGGTAAACGATCTCTCAAGGCAAAATGTGAAGTTGAACATGGTACGAAAAGAAGGTCCAGCTGGTAGCTTCTTTCATAAAGTCCCCGATGATGATGATAAGAAAGAAAGTGATGATAATCCTTCAATTGTTGACGACGAATTCTCAGAATTATTGAGGAAAAGAAAGAAACCTTCGCGGGCATCGAAGCCGTCAACAATCAATGGCATTCCGACGGCTCAGGCTACGGGGTTTGGGAAGGCGAAACCAGGCAAGCAACGGCCGTCAAAACCCTACACTGCTGTTGGTCCGAGTGGGATTGAGAAGCGAGGGATCCCAAACTCGGTAAGTCACCCTGAGACAGACGATCAGGGCTATACCCTATACACCGACGAAAAAACCGGGAAAAAGTCTCGAGTCTTCGAGGCTCTTTTGCATTATCCGTCAGACTTCACTTTAAAAATTGTTGGGGCAAACGAGGGATCTTTCGTTAGCGAAATTGTAGCTCTTGTGGCGGAAGCTTGCGAAACAGAACCTGCTAAAATCGCGCACACCGCAAGATCGATAGGAAAATGGACAAGCGTTACTTGTACTTGCCCTGTACAAAGTGCAGAGATGGTATATGCCATGTATGAAGCTGTTGATCGCGACCCTAGAGTCAAGTTTAAATTTTAGTCTCAGGTTATATTCATTTCATTGCTGGCCTTTTCTTTGAATGAGACAGCATATCATTGACCCTAGAGTCAAGTTTAAATTTAAGTCTCAGGTTATATTCATTTCATGGCTGGCTTTTTCTTTGAATGAGACAGCATACCATTGACCTTTCTCAAGAGAGACGGGAGCCAAATCTTGCCACCGAAACAAGTTGCACGGAATAGTTGAAACACAGCAAAGCAAGCCCACACTTGTTCAACATTACCTCCAATCACCTTGACCCTAACAAGGGCTGATGGCAACAAAGCTGTGCTTATTAGGTAGATTGAAGCGAGGTATTTGAGTTCTCGTTTGGCGAGCAAAATTCCCTCAGAAACTGCAACAGGGGCAGTCAAGAAGGCTCCTGCAAGCAAGTACTTGGCAAGTGGCTTCACTGCCTCTTGAACAGTTGCATCAGATGTCAATAAACCACCGCGGAAGGCAGGAACCATACCTGCTAAGGATGCAATCACGACTCCAACAGAAAAGCCGATTTTCAGTAACGAGTTTCCAACATCAAACGCAGCTTGATTCCATGGTTTCACAAGGCTATCTTTTGTCGAATCATAGCTTGGATCGATTTCTTTACGTTTGCTTATGTGATCAGCTACGGGAGCCAAATATCCTGGAATGAATGTCTGTGCTGTTTGACTGATAACTTCCATAAATGGACTTGCGAAGAAGAACAGAGAAAGGATGATTTGGTGAGAGGCAAGTGGCGTCGGTTGCCCAGGAATAGCAGCTGCCGCGTGTGTCATGAATCCAAACGCTGCAAGTTTGCCCATAATTAAAGTCAGGACAGGCGCCGCAAAGCCGAGGAACGTTTTGGCCGAGACAGTATCAGCTTTCGACTCTGGCTTTTTCCACAGTCCCAAAGATCGATCTCTGACAAGACGCTTCCTGGCGGGACCCAAGAGTGCAGCAGTAGCGGCCCACTGAAGGTCATTGAAACGCAATTTGGTGAGTTTGATACATTTCATGATTTGCTTGTGATTCGTCGTCTACAAGCCTACCTGCGCCAAAGTCGTCGCAATTGCAGCACCACGGAGACCCATGCCAAGTTTATTGACGAGCAAAAAATCGCCGACAACATTAACGGCGGTAGAATACACTATCGCTATGAGAGGTGTAACAGAATCTTTAGCGCCGAGGCAAGCGGCCTGGATAACGCCCGAGAGCAGAGATGTTGGCATCGACAGGGCTCTGATATTCACATAATCGACGGCTGAGTCCAAAAGGTCAGGACTGTTATCCGCTCCGTGACCTTTGTCGCGTATTAGTTTTCGAATTCTATTTGGATTGCCGCAACAAGCATCGAACTCACCAATATAGAGAGACAACAGAGGGCGAGCAAACGCGAGCAAAAACAGTAGCAGCCCGATCCCAGATCTGAGAGCAACTCGTGATGCTGTTCTAACCACACTCTCTGCTTTATCAGACTGCTCTCCTTGTTGTGCTCTTGCCGTCGAATAAATGTTGGTTGCAGCAACGTTAAGAAACGCAAACAAGTAGACTGATCCGTCTATGAATGTTGTAGCCGGCTTTTGGATTGTGGCATTCAACGTCACCGATTCCAAATAATGAGATAAGATTCATTAAAAATCTGAAAGCATGACTAAATGTGAAAACCTACCCCAAGTGCCGCCAGTTGTTGAGCAGAAGTAGCCTTGTCTCCCGATAGGCCTACAAAGGATGTGTCAATTAAACTCAGAAGTGGTTGCGCAACCCAGAGACCCAAACAAGGAAGAGCAAATTTACGATACGTGGAGAACGATGGAAGCTTTGGTGGTGGTTTGTTTATGTTTGCACCCCCTCGAGGAATCCCATCTGCAGTTGATTCAATTGCTTCCTTTTCTGAAAAGGGATTGTTGTTGTCAGCAGATTGTCGAGTGATTGATACAACTCTTTGGGGCAATGATCCCACGATTGATTTGGAGGGCGTAGCAAAAGCAGCAGTTGTTCCTGAAATGCCAATAGCAAACAGGACAAAGAGTGTTGACTTTGCTCTTGACGGCGACAGGTACATTTCAGTAGCTTGTGGGGTTTTTGTGGGGGCAGCTTCTCTTCTCTTTGTACCGGAACGCACCACAACGTGCAACGCACGCAATTTAAATGTCCGTTAATTGTTAAAAATGCTTTTTAAAAAAAAGGTAAGTGTCCGTTTCAATTTTAGCGCGGCTGTGGAAATCGGGCATGCCCCGTGCGTCAATTTGACGCAAAACGGGCACCGCGTCAAATTAACGCAAATCTGCATCAAATTAAAGCAATTTCGCGTCAAATTGACGCAGATTTTTGCGTCAAATTGACGCGCGACGCACGAAGCTGCGTCAAATTGACGCAAGTTGCATCAATCCCGCTTCAAACTCAAGAAATTGCGTCAATCCCGCGTCAAACAGATGCAGTTGCGCCAATCCCGCGTCAAACTCAAGGGAGGCCAGAAACACAATGTTATAAGAGCACAGTACAGGCTCTGACGTCAGCTACTTCATTATGCTATGGGCTACAGTTCTGGATTCGTTTCTCAGAAGTACTTGGCTTCATATCCCAAAATTTCACAGTTCCAAGCTCGGCTAAACCAATTTGGATTGATACCAGCAGGAGGACAGCACCTATCGCAAGCGTATGCTTATCATAGTTATGGATCCAAATACCTTGCAATGATTGGAACTTTTTCATCTTACAAAAAACACATACTAGCTCGTTCTTTGGTGTTCAACAAGAATTCTGGATGCAATAAATTCCTAAACAATTGAGACAAGGAGAGCAGAAAGATCCTCCTGAAAGGACGAATGGGAGACATTGCCAGATCCCTGGCCAAGTATGCCTATGAAAGAAAGATCAGTCCCAATATTGCCAAATCCGTTCTCAAATATGTTCTCTACAAGATTTTTGAGCAGTACTATATCTGGGGGATTCCTTTGATGAGCAAGACAGTGGTATCTGTTGGTTACTAATTTCATCAAGGGCTTCAAACTCATTGATAAGGTCGTTGTGTCTTGCTTGAACAATAGCATCATCGCCATTATGTGCCCAAGCTTTGTCGATTTCCATCAGTTCCATTGATCAAGAAATGGGCAACTCTCATTGGAATGAGAGTGGGAACTCAAACTCTCATTCATTCACATACTCCAATCTTTTTTGAAACTGATACCAGTAAGCGGGTTTAGTCCCGCGTCGAAGACACGCAACCCCGCGTTAAATTGACGCAACCCGCGTCAGTTGGCGTTAAACTTACGCAACTCTGCGTCAAACTAACGCGCGTCAAAAGAAACATCCCGCGTCAAAGTCGAAGAGCATTTCAACGGACACATAAAAAATATTTAGCTTAAAAAACAAATTCTCAAACCAATCCAAACGGACAGATTTCGGGCGCACAAATTTGCTCACGATTCAAAGTGGCTGTGCGAGCACTAACAAAACGGATATGGAATCTGGAATCCACGAATGTGTATTTCTATTTCTGAACCGTTCAGAAATGGAATTTCCATTTCTGAACCGTTCAGAAATAGAATTTCCATTTCTGAATCGGAATCTTGGACAGGGGGGGGGAATGAAATTGGGGGAGTGGTTGAGCCGACAGTCAGAAGTGAAAGATGAATATTGTACAATAGCTTTGCCCCTAGTACAGGAGCTTCTGTGGCTAGGTAGTCAGCTCCTGTATCGATATTGATCTATCGAATACCATAGTAACCCATGCATCAGTATTACGATTTTATTGCTATTTTGTTAGTTCATAGTGCTATCCGCCATCAGTTCGTAGTTTTTTGTTCGGATTGTGAGTGAAATCAGATCTGAACTGGAAGAGAAGGCTTCTTCGGAAATTTCAATTCTCATGGTCAAAGAACTAGAGATAGGTTATATTTGGGGAAGACTTGGGGTAGATGTTTCTGAATCGGAAGCTGGTTTCTGAATGGTTCAGGAACGGCCGTGAAATAGAAATTTAGCATACAATTCTTAAGAGTAAATGTTGATTTTCCCGGCCGTCCCAGAAATGGTAGTTCTATTTCTGAACCGTTCAGAAACAGGATCTCTATTTCTGAATCGGAAGCTAGTGTGGCAACAAAGGCTACATATGGACTCGACTTGCGATCATTGCTCCGTTGGCCAGCGCCGGATATAAACTGGCGAGTGTTTGCTTGCGAGGTCTATTGTTGCAAATGTCATCGCTAGAATTTAACGGCTGGACAAGCAGTTCAAGCGGGAATCGACAGAAGATCCCGCTGAAATCCGTGACACCGCCTGTCCGCATGTCACCTATTTCAAAAAGTTACCCCGTCTTGCAGAGACAGCCAAGATGTGGGACTCAAGTGTTTCACGGATCGTCATCCAAGGTTGACACCTCGCATCGCATCTCGCATCTTCGCCAAGCAAGAGAAAAGCGAAGAACGGTTTCTCCAAAAATCTTCAGTTCGGTATCGTGGTATTAGCCAAACAACGGTAGCAACAAACGAGCAGGAAAACCGCAAACCCGATAGGAACAGCAACATACAGTAAGCAGCAGCAATAACAGCGACAAAAAGCGCAACAGCAACAATATAAAATCTCTTCTCGTTGAAACAGGAAAAAGAAATGTTCTCTCGACTCAGCACCAACCTTACCCGCCGTGTGGCATTGACTGCACGATATGGTTGCCGATCTATCACCACACATTCTCAGCTTCCTGAAGAGCACAAAATGATCTATGACATGTGCCGAAAGTTTGCTGATGAAGAACTTGCTCCCAACGCAGGAGAATGGGATAAGAAGCACGAGTTCCCAACAGATGCGATTGCTCAACTCGCAGAACTCGGATTGATGGGAATCAATGTGCCTGAATCAATGGGAGGTGTAGGATTGGATGCCTTAAGGTAGGCTCTTTGCATGTCATAGTGGTTCGCGTTTGCATCTCCATAAACAGCACTGACATGATTTCTTCGCTATCGGACGTTTTTAGTTATGCCATTGTAATGGAAGAGATCTCCCGTGGTTGCGCAAGTACTGGCGTCATCTGCTCGGCCCACAATAGCCTGTATTTGTATCCAGTTGTAGAGTTTGGGACTCCAGAGCAGCATGAGAAATGGGTGACTCCCTTTGCCGGTGGATCTGAATCACTTCAGATTGGTTGTTTTGGATTGTCAGAGCCGGGCAATGGTAGCGATGCTGGTGCCGCAACGACAACTGCCACTAGAGATGGAGACGACTGGATTATCAATGGAACAAAGGCTTGGATTACGAATGCCTACGAAGCTAGCGCGGCAGTTGTTTTCGCCACCACTGACAAGAGTCTCAAGTAAGTCCTCGTTTTCTTCCAACTCGTAGCTCTGTCTTCATTATCTAATATCAGATTTGCTTGCAACAGACACAAAGGAATCTCTGCGTTCATTGTCCCCAACGATGCAGAGGGCTTTAGCTTGGGTGCCAAAGAGGACAAACTTGGAATCCGTGCGTCGTCAACTGCAAACTTGATCATGGAAAATGTTCGAATCTCAGGAGATAATCTCCTTGGTGAAGAAGGCCAAGGTTTCAAGATCGCCATGCAAACACTCGACGGTGGTAGAATTGGAGTCGCTGGACAAGGTTTGGGAATCGCATCGGCAGCTATCGACTGTGCAGTGAACTATGCACTTGAGCGCACCGCTTTTGGCAAACCCATTGCCAACTTTCAGATGATTCAGCACAAGATCAGCGAAATGGTCCTAGCTAGAGATTCTGCCCGTCTGTTGACATGGAGAGCAGCTCAAATGAAAGACGCCGGCGAAAACTACACGAGAGAGGCTGCGATGGCGAAGCTAGCAGCCAGTGAAGCTGCTACCATGTGTGCTCATCAGTCGATTCAAATCCTGGGTGGTATGGGTTACGTCACAGAAATGCCTGCAGAGCGTCATTATCGAGATGCAAGAATTACAGAAATCTATGAGGGAACGTCCGAGGTCCAGCATCTTGTTATCTCGAATGATGTCTTGAAGGAGTACAAATCGAGTTATTGAGCTCGAATAAAGGTTGGATAAATCTTGTAGTGTTTTATAGGATTCATTGAATGAGTTTTGCAGAGCGAAGGTCATTACCACATTGTACTTTCCATCACCTGGAATGTAAGCATAGCGGCAATCTAGATCCATCCATAGCGAATTTTTCATAACATTTATTCATTGAAATCTCGTAGTTATTGGAAAGATGGGGGTGACAAGACAGCTCCTTGGGGAAATGTAAGCATCAAGGTACAAGATGTTGCAGTTCTCTCATTTACGTTGCGAATTTGCTCTCGCGAGTACATAATTAGAAGACGAGATGCTTTGGAACCAGAAGCTTGTCTTGCCCACTCTTGAAAGAATCGTGGTACGACTTGCAACTTCAAATTCTTCTTCATTGACGAAGGGAACGCACACCAATGGGAATGGCTGTGAAGGTTGACAACTATACCGGTACATACTGTAAGTTTGAACTTCTCAGTTAAATCATTATCTAGCTGAATTCGCATGTTTATCACCTTAAAAGATAAAAAAAACCACTGACTAGCTGTATTTTTATGCTTGTCACCTGATACCTATTCATCCCCGCCGACTGTTTGTTGTGACTGCGGAGTCGAGCCTGGCGGAAGAATCGAGCGACCGACTGACTCAAATACGCGCTCGATTTCTGTTGCACAACGTGTAAAAGGATAGTTCCAGAATCCGTATGCTTGATTCTTGATAAGCTCGATGAATGTTACCAATAGACCCCAAGGATGGGGTCTGTGGAGGATCAATCTCTCTAAAAGTACCCTGGTGACTTGCTCCTTCACAGCAACATTCGTCGACTCACTGAACAGATACAACATTACACAGGAGAAATAGTGAGTGTGACTCGACGGATAGCGAAGCTGGTTTGCAATCGCGTTCAAACAGATATATCTTCCATGATCGTCTAACTCCATCAGCTTTTGCACCACATCCATCTCCGGTGTAGAAATGCGAGCCATCGAAATCTGAGCACTCTGTAGGCGCGCGAGAGCATGCATGCCTATGTACAAGACCAAAGAATTGACTTTCGGAGGGTCGACCTCTTTTGTGCCACTTTTGTACAGGATTGAAGGAAGCTCAGAAAGGAAGTTTCTATTTCTCTGGCTGTCTTTCAAGTATGCATCCAGATGGTTCCTAGATCCTTCAATCGGTCCAAGCACATTCGAGAGAACAACAGGACTTTGGGAAATTTCAGGCAGCAGGTCTATTTTCAAGTTTGGAGTGAATGGATCAGGCGGGAGCATTCCTTTTGGACTTGCTGAGAGGACCAGGTTTCTCAATTGTACGCAAGACTCGGGGATGACATTGCAGAGGGACAAATGATATGCAGCCAAGAATGAAGAAAAATCGTGGAGCAAAACCAACAATACTCGTAAAGTTCCCTCGTACAACTTTTTCACTGGTGGCGTCATTTCACCCCCCTTCGAGAGATGAGGTTCAAGGAACAAGAAGTAGTCGATAAGAAGTTGGTGAGCAGTGTTCCATCCTTTCTTGCCTTCGATTAAAAGGAGATTGGGAAGAAAGTGTCGATGTGAAATGAGCTCGAACCAGGAGAAAGCAAATCCTACAAAAAGGGGATCGTCAGCAATTGATAGGCAACTATGATACATAGCAGAGCAGCAAGTACATACCCGGAAGCGCCAATGGCTGGCAGACATGTAACGCAGCGCCAAAAACAGAAAGAACACCGAGTTTGATTGGCTCAAGGGCAGGATCTGGCGTGTTGATGTCAATCAAAAGATTGAGAAGCAGCCGGTACCAAGGTCGCTGATCCCAAACTCTCGAGCTGTTGTTTCTTGCAGCCTCTGCATCGAACATCATGCAACGGACAATCACACCCAAAATTTTGTTGAGCATATTCAAGCGCTGAGAATCGTTTCTTTCATTTCCCAGGTTTGGTTGCTTGAACAAGACGACCAATAGCTTACAGTACACATCCATAACAGTGTAATTGAGCACTCTTGCACCCTTTTCGCTGCTGGTCGCACTCTTCGTGACTGCCTCTACAACAAGAAGCACAGAAAGTCGAAGGAATCGTTCTGTTTGTTCTTCGACCTTCCCGATTCCACTCTGTTGTAAGTACTGAAGAAATTGAATATTGACTTTTTCGTTCCCAGCGGCCTCGCTGTACACACGAATCCAGTTGTCCAAAAGAGTTGTGACCTGTTGCTTTGCACTTGCGGGATCATTCCTAAGGAATCCTTGGGTTGTCTCGGCTACCTTCTTTGATGCTCCAGCCATGATCGCAAGTGATTCAGATGAAAGACTGCTGCTTTCATTCAACGAAACTGCAGCAGCTTTTCTTTGACTCTGGGACGCTTGCTTCGGACGGGCAGTTGATGCAATATCCCCGTTGCCTAACCCACGGGTTTCCTCGAGCATTCGAAGGATTGGCTTTCGGTATGTCTGCATGATTTGGGCGCTTGCTTGACTACGGCCTTCCGCAATTCGAGTCATCAGGTCCATCAACTTTGGAAAATCGGTTGGCATAGAAATTCTTTCCATAAATGCAGTCCTTATGAAGAGAAGAGAAAACTCGACCCAGATGTGGTTTCTGCCATTGTCTGCACGCGCAGCAAGGAAGCCATCTAGGTCATGAACAGCCAATAGGCGACTTCTAATGAGAAGTAGGAGTACAGTCCTGTGCAAGCGTCTCTGACCTTCAGAATTTGTTGGTGCGTAGGTTGCCCAAGTTCCAATATCTTTTCCAAGTTTTGGACAAGCTACGTTGATGTTTTCCAAGAGTGCAACGAGAGCTTCAAGACGCAACGGTTCGCTAAGGCTCAATTCGTATAACCGCTTGAAAATGCCCTGGGAAAACCCGAGCGCGGCTTCTTGTTCCCCAGCCGTGAGGTTCCTTGTCATCGCCCCTGTAGGGCTGAGGTTAGGGAGAATCTGCTTCACTGCTGCAAGGAGCTGGCGAATTTGATGATCAGGTGGCAACATGGGCAATTTCACCTCAGGAGCTCTAGGGCCAGCTGCAGCCAAAAGCGCGGTCACAGCACTATCTAGTTTCGCCGCAACTACAGATAATGCATCAATACCAAGTTGTGTTCCTGAACCTGATTTTTGACATGTACCACCTTCAGAATCTGATCCTAGATTTGGTCCAACAGCACCTGCCGCGACGCCTCCCGAGTTCCCGACTACTCCAGGAGCTGGATTTTGACGGACTGTGCGTTGGAAGCTGTCGTAGAGCTGGAAATGCTCCGCTCTGAGCCCTCCTGGTTTTGGGCGAAGTTGTTCTGGCAAAGCTGAAGGGTACCTTTGGCTGCCATTTCCAAATATTGACATGTCATAAAACGGTTGACCAGTTTGCTCACGATGTTTCCGCCTCGCATTCAAAGACTGTCCTAAATCTTCGTCGACGTCTCTTACAGCTTTCTCAGTTGCTGCTTTTTCAATTAACATACAGCCAAGTTCAAGATTATCGGTTGCGCAAATCTGGACACACTGCTCAATTACATTTTGCTCTTGTTCATTAAGCTTGTCCGCCCCCCCAGCATTGGATGTCAAAAGCTGTCTTAGGTGTGTTGAGACACTGGAACGCAAAGGCTCCCGGCAGGTTACAAGAGCCAGGCTACCAGCTAGGTTTGCCACCATGAATTGTCCGGCTTTCCGCATTTTGTTCTCATCGCTTTCCATGGCAAAATCCTTCGTCACAATTTCCTTCGTTGTGATACAAGCAATCGTCACACTACGTTCGACAACAGGCTGAATAATTTCCCTGATTGCACGATCCACAGCAACAGGTACCGACCTCTTCAACAAAGCGCTAGTCAAGGAAGATAGAGCAGAGCTGCCACCTTGTGATGACTGCTGCAGCAATTGCGATAGACTTGGATTCACTGTCACGTACGCTGCGAGGTTAGGAATAACTGTCTCTTGGTCATCTCCACTTCCCTTCGAATCGCCATTGGACCCTACGATAGACTTTCCGTCAGCAGCACCAAGAATGCCTACAGAGGAGGAATGGCTTGAAGACGACTGGCTTTTTGCTACCGACTTGATATTGAAGTCTGGGTTGCGCTCCTTGATAGGTGCAACTCTTTTCTTGAGTTCACCTGTCTTGAGAGGGATGTCCTCGAGTCGAATACCAAGATTCTTGCATAGGACCTCAACTTCAAATTTGATGTTCATCTTTAAGCCATCCACATTGTAAACAGAGCGGAATACACCGAGAAGACCCATGAGCCACGGATTCGGAGGTCTAAAGATCACCGAGTTCTTGGCACCTTCAAGAGTTTTTGCGAGAAACGGAGCAACAGCAATCAGCTTCCCAGTTTCATAACCCTGGAGTAACAGCTCTTTACAATCCAGCATTATTTGCAAGATAGGACGGTTTCTTGCCAAAGTAATTTGTCCAAGCCAAATACCAAGATTTTTTAAGTAGCTTCGCTCAGACGAAGAAGTCGTAATCTTTGGAGATCGGAGCAATTTGCCAATATTGTGGTAAACGCTTTCGATGATAGCTTCAACAAGTCCCTTTCCATAGTCCCCGAGTTGATCCAAAAAGCTCAGATACAAGGAATGAAAGTTGGCCTGGGTACTGATTCTTTTCACGACAAGGTATTGACCCAGCCAGCCAAAATGCTCGGGCTCCAGCATTTCCTTCAGCTCTTTAGCCTTGCTCTCAACATTGGCTGGTGCAAGATTGTTAACCAAAAACTGGACGCGATCAAGAACTGAAGTGGTTGGGCCTTCATGTTCATGCTCGTCGTCTCCTAACTCCGTGACTGCCCTGCCCAGTCTCGGTCCGAATTCTGCAATACGAGGCTTTGAATTCACTGCCAAAACAGACGAAGGTATATCAACACTCCCAGTGGAAGAATGCGAAGATCCAGCTTCACCAAGTGATTGGGTTCCATCTTGACTCGAGGCGAAGCTCGCCGTTGTTGATTGGTCTTTAGTCAAACTACTGGATCCAGCGGTAGCAGCACTAGTCGCAGGCGCGCTCCCTTGTGAAGCGGCCCTGTTCGGGCTTTCAAGCATTGCACTCTCGATCTCGGAGACAAGGTCAGCATAGCCTTCCTTTAGATGTGGAATCTGGACTATGTGCGAGCAGTACTGAGGCCACTCGTGAAGCCGTCCCTTGAATTGTTCCAATGCAAACATTCCAAACTGAAACATTTTCCCACTACTTGATGAAGTGCCAACAGGAGACGGGGGCTTCCTCAAAGCTTCCAGCACATATCGTAGAGCAATGCCAAGGGTGATGCTGCTGACAAGTTGTTCTTGAATCAAAGTCCCAAATAGAATTCCCGTGATGCGAAGTTCTTTTTCTGGATATTTGGAAAAGAACCTGTATTCATCAAACAAGTTGTGTACCATGCACGCAAAAATTTCATTCTCTTTCGCATTCCCTGACATTTTGAATCTCTTTAGCATCTCAACAACTTCACCAATGCTTTGCTCCGAAGTGTATATCTTTTGAAAGTAGGCAGTTGCCATTTCTTCGACATCATCCGAAGCCCCGGGAGAAGGAGAAGCACCTCTGGAATTGGTTCCATTTGAAGAAGAATTTTGAGCTGGTAGCATGCTTCGAAGAGTTGGATGTGCCGTTAAACACGCATCAGCAACAGCTTTCAAGTTGTCCCCGAGGGAAGTTCCTGATGCCGGCGATCCTTCAGCCGTAGGATATGGCTGTGCAAGAATCGAGGCGTCAAGAGCTTGCAATATTTGCAGCGACATGGCAATATTCTCCAGGCTCACGAGCGGGCTGCCATCGCCATCTGCTGTTCTATGCGCTGCAGAACCGTGCGTCTTCGCAATGTAGCCCAAAATTGCAGCGGCAAACACACCTGCAGCTGCTTTTTGGGTCAGTTTCTCAACAAGCCACGGCTTCAACTGTAGATAGTCATTGTCTGCCATCACAAAAGCTATCGCGATACTGAATTCAGCATCCTTACTTCCATCAAGAAGAGACTTCACTGCGTCTGCTGGTGACGGTAGTAATCGAGCGATGTTGATTATATGCATCAGTGTAGCCAGCGATACCTGGGGCCGTTCTGACGCCGTACTCCTCCAGGCTTCAAAACAGGCAACAGTTACTGTAATGGGAGAAATCGCATAGAGGCGGCGCAATGCACCGGGCGCATTCTGGACCCGGTGACGCGCATTTGGGCGAAAGAACAAAGGAATGAGTTCACGCATAATCTCAGTCTTGATTTGCATTCCAGCGTTTGTCCAGCTCTCCCTTCCTGATTGAGCGGGAGTATTTGCGACGAGAAGTTGAAGCCTAACAAGAGAGCAAAGCAAAACTTCCGGACAACTGAGAAGACCCTTTACAAAAAGATCTCTGACCCTGCGATAAAGCGTTGGAATATCTGACAAAAACAAAAGTCTTCGAAGTACGTCCATTGATGCGAAGCACCTTGGATCCATGCCAGTACACCCAGGCGACGCAGTTGCAGCATCTTCTGTCTCAGCTTCATTCAATGGACAAACGTATGCATTTTGAGAAACCGCCATTGTCTCGATGAGCGACAATTGGCTATCCGAATTTCTCCATTGTGAAGTAAATGCTGTAAGAGGAGGGGTGCGTTTTGAGCCTGCTCTGTAAAGCTCTATCAATGACCGAAATTGCTCAGCATCGTTGATAACGAATCCAGGGAAATCCCAGCATGAAGCAACTGCACTCCAGTCCAAAGATGCATAGTCTTGTTCCAGCACTTGTGCAACCGAAACAATATTCCAGCCGTCGTTTCCTGCTTCACCCCCTCTCCCTGGTATCAAGCTTCCCAATAGCCCCGATGACACCCCCATGAGTGTGGATCCATCTGCATCTCTGCCTTTATCCGAAAAAAAGAAAATGATACGTGCGATCGCTGGTTCGTTTAGCTTTGTGAGTCCAGAGGTTATCTCCGTAAGCGTATCTCTAAATGTTCTGGCATTTCGAGTACATGCAGGTCCAATATCATGTAATATTTTGGCAATGCTCGAAGATGAATCTGGACCATTCGAGGGAGCAACACTACTTCCGATAGCAGGAGATATCGCTCCGATTGAATCGAGTTGCCGGTTTGAATCCATCTTTTTCTCCTCTTCCGGTGTTTTGAGTTTGCGAACGACGATCGATGTATCTATATTGTTTTTCTTAAAAGCCTGAATCAACAAAACTACGGTATGAGAACATGGAGCAATAGATGTGGTAACAGAGCGGACAGCCAACTTACGGTATGGGTTTGCAATATGAGGATAACGTTGTTTACAAGATCTTCGTCCCAGTCGACCGGTCCCTTGCTTGTTGCAAAATCGATTGACTCAAGGAGATTGAAAGCTGCTTTCGAAGACGATGAATGACTTTTGTCTAATTGGATCGTTTTGACCTGTATTGGCGGAAAGTGCATTAGTTTTTCATTTCACTGTGATTTCGATTGATGTGGATTTTTCATTTCACACATCATGGACAGACGTTAGAATACAAAAACTCACCAATTCCCTAGTCCACTCGAATAAGACTTTCGCAGGAGAAATACCACCTTGTGGTCCTCTTTGGTAAACGTGGACGAGAAGAGCCCCCGCTCGGGCCCTCCCTTCTGAAATCCTTTCGCTGGCCGAATCCGCTGATTGATTGAGCTTTGAAGCCTCTGTTTTTAGTTTTATTTCACTGTTGTTTTGTTGTTGAATCTGTCTCTGTCCCGCGCTCATTGGCCATGTTGACCGACCGAATATATTTTGTGCTGAGGATTGCCAGGCAGGAGGGGAGGAAATCAAATTCTACGAGAAAGCAGTATGACGATTCTGCGACACTCAACGTACGAGAACCTGAGTAGACTAGGACATGAGAATTCTTCGTACTACTATCCACGTCGAAATGTGCAGAGGTGAGTGGGCGAGCGGCCAGACGTAATGTTTTTGAGATTTACTGTACACTGTACCGGTATTGTACCTGGTACGTACCCGTACCATCAGGCCCATCCGGCAAAATGCTTTGCGCGGAACTCGCGCGATCTCAGTCGAGCAAGCAGTCCGCGCATGTCAATTCGGAATCTGGAATCTTGATATCGGATATTTTCGATCCCGCAAACAATCCCGCATAAAGAATTTTTAAGAATTTTAAGAATTTTCAACAATTTTCAACAATTTTCAACAATTTTTCCCTTTTTCCATCAGCTTTCCCCCGTTTTCTAGCCAAAGAAAAGTTTGAGAAATTCAACACTTTTCGAAATACACCCAAAGAAAAACACATATCAAGAAGGTTGCGTCCGTGTTCGAAGACCCAGAAGCGAAGTGGGGAAACAGCAAGGTCAAGGTGCTCCTGCAAATCGGATTTGGAATTTTAATTGCAGTCTTGTTTCCTTGCGCCCCCTTTTAGGGTTTTGTAAGGTTTTTTCCCAATTTAAAGAATTCTTAAGAACTCCCCCCCC